GTTCAAAGAGGTCACCCCACAGACCCTCCCCCATGGGCCTGCCTGAGCAGGTGGAGCCTCCTGAGCCTTCATTCTGACCACTGGCCCTCCTCCTCCTGACCCCTGTCTCCCTCATGGCCCTGAGCTTGCTCCATTTAGTTTCACACTTTCCTTCTGAGCATAGGTTGGTAAACATTAGTTTGATCTGATTCCATGCATTCTTTTTGGTGAAAAATTGGATGATTTCTTGGACTACCTCCTAAGCTTGTTGAGTTCACCCTCACAGTCTTGTAGGCTGAACCTGTGCCCTTTTTTTAACTCCAGTCATTAATTAAAGGGAGCTCTTCATGCTAAACCCTTGGAAGTTGAAGAGATCGTGAAAAGTTTCGCACTCAATTGTTGCATATAGATTTTTATGCACAAGAGCTTTTAAAGCAGATCTAAATATGATGTTTTTAGAATCAGTTTAGCAGACACTTAAGTGCTTGTCATATACCTAGCATTGTGTGAACTGAGCAGAAATAAAACTTTTTAAAAATCATTCTCCTCCACTTTTAAGCAATTCCTTTGAGTCTAGGATATTTTGTCATGTCGGTCTTATCCAGTATCTAGCACATTACCTGGTATTAACAAAAGCAAATGAATACTAAATAAATAAAAAGAAAAATTTGAACCTGTCGAAATGACATCATCAATGATCTGAAATTAAATGTATGCTCTTTTGGTTTTAAAAAGAAAGTTGTCTTGGCGAGGCATGGTGGCTCATGCCTGTAATCCCAGCACTTTGGGAGGCTGAGATGGGTGGATTGCTTGAACCCCGGAATACAAGACCTGCCTGGGCAGCATAGTGAAACCCCATCTCTACAAAAAATTTAAAAGAAATTAGCCAGGCATGGTGGGGAGCACCTGTAGTCCCAGCTACTCAGGAGGCTAAAGTGGGAGGCTCACTTGAACTGGGAGGTGGAGGTTGCAGTGAGCCAAGATAACACCACTACACTCCAGCCTGGGTGACAGAATGAGACTCTGTCTCAAAAAAAAAAAAAAAAAGATAGAAATTTCTCTCTTCCTGCTGCCATCTTCCCGTGCTGCCACAATGGTTCACATGAATGTCCTGGCTGATATTCTCAGGAGCATCCACAATGCTAAAAAGAGAGACAAACACCAGGTTCTTATCAAGTCATGCTCCAAGTCATCATCCAGTTTCTCACTGTGATGACGAAGCATGGTTCCACAGGCGAATCTGAAATCATTGATGATCACAGAGTTGGAAAGATTGTTGTGAACCTTGCAGGCAGGCTAAACAAGTGTGGAGTGATCAGCCCCAGGTTTCATGTGCAACTCAAAGATCTAAAAAAATGGCAGCATAATCTGCTCCCATCTGACCAGTTTGGTTTCATTGTACTGACAACCTCAGCTGGCATTGTGGACCACAAAGAAGCAAGACGAAAACACACAGGAGGGAAAATCCTGGGTTTCTTTTTCTAGGGATGTAATACATACTTAAAAATAAAATGCATCAAGGGGAAACAAAAAAGAAATTTGTTTTGGATTGAACTTGTACGAAAAAAGAAATTAAGAAATTTATAAGTTATGAGGTATAATTTTTGTGTGTTTTAGATATTTTCAAGACTTCTGTTCTTTGGTTTCTTTGGCAGATTACGTATAAATCAATTAAAATTATTTATGCTTAAATTTGCATGTTAGATTATTTCTAAATTACTAAATTTGATTTATTTTCCATCATACCTATCACTAGTTGAATTTACGGCATATATTTGTATATTCGCTTGTTTACTGCTTGTCTGTTTCTGCCAATAGAAAATATTCTAAGAGGAAGGGGACCATTTCCAGGTTTTATTCACAGATATGTTAGAAGCAATTATGAGTTTTAATGGAAAGAAAACTTCTTAATGGGCAGTGAATTTAGCTTTTATTTTAATATTTCATACACATTTCTAAATTATAAAATTTTCTCTTTATTTTATGACATATTTTCAATCTAATAACCGTGTTCACTTAAGAAATAAAGCCAGTTCACCAGATCTACAGTATTTATGGATATTATTTTGTTTTAATAAGGTGGTTCAGCTGTAGAGGAACTTCATTAGGCTTCGAGGCCTGATGAGCCTATTTATAAATTCACATTACAATTTAACAAGTAATTTTAGAAAATCCATTACTCAGCTACTGCAAAGTTTAATTAAGATGGCTTAAAATAAGATTATATAGGCTTACTAAACTCAATTTTTGTTTACATTTATATTATAAATGTGGGATTACTTTTAATAACTCTAAATGTGCAATGAATGTATATGTTTTCCCACTAAATAGCTAGGCAAGCCATAGGAATTGATACCAATTGGTAGGATTTGACAATTACAGAAAACCTTCAATCATTTCCCAACACATTCACCTCTGTCTTTGGTGAATTCCTCTCACTTTTCTTGCTCAAATGCTTTAATTTCTTTCTTAAGCACTCAATTCTGAAGTGCTTTGAGAATCTAAGAAAGATGTGGCAGGACTCCATGTTAGTATCTCTTGTCTTATTCTACTAGTTTCCCTTTATCACCCTCACAATTTCTTTTCTAACTATCACTTAATGCTTCAGGTGTCATTTGTATCAAGCTATTTGTAATGTACGTCTTGACCTCTTCATACAACGTCATGTTTGGGGGACCTACGGGAAGAAGTTCACATACAGTACATCATTTAAAAAAGGGGGTAAGCTTCTACCCATAAAGCTCTCAAGGTTTATTATGCCATTTATTTAATTCCTTCTAATCTAATGGTGAAATTCTAGCCTATCATGTATCTATTATTCTGCAGGAAAAGGAAAGCTGGCTGTGTAACAAAGATGGAGCATTGCAGTAGCCATTTGAGTAAGACTTAATACACAATAGAGAAAAACTGAGATAGGAAAGGCTGCAAGAAATAAAGATAAGACTATAAACAGTTCTTCTTGTCAATAAGCTTTATTTAGCAGATGCCTAGCGTCAGCCTGTGCCTTTGTCACTCATGTAACAGATGTTAAACGACAACAAAAATGTGCCAGCCCCAGTGGAGAGGGTGGGGTGAAAAATGGATGGAGTCATGCTTGAAAATTAAGCTTTCTCTTTCAGGAGTCTAGGATATGATTTTGTCAGTTGGTCATTAAAGTATAGTACAGGTTCATTTCTATTTAAGTGTAAAAGCTAATACTATAGTTACAGACTCTGGAGTCATTAAAAAATTTTCTCCAACCCTTTTCTACTTGATCCAAATCAAATCTAATGCTGTGTGAGTTGCTGGTATAAATTCAAAAATCCTGTTTTGTATTAGAAGATGGAGAAAATATAGTTTCTAGCCCATAGTTTACTGCTGTTCTTGAAATTTAATTCAGATATGCATGTATTCTTTCTATTCTAATGGGGGCACCTGAGCAGAATTTCACCAGCTCTTTTCTGTCATAGTGTAATACCTCAATTTATAATTTAAAGACAGAAAAATAAAGAAAAAAATTAAGACAAACATTTAAGAGACATGTTCATGGACTGAGTTTTCTAGGTAAGGGAGTCTACTAGGATTAGAGAAAAGGTTCTCCCTTATTGAGTATTCAGGCAAGAATAAGAGCTCACTGAAGCTAGGAAGAAAATAGAAGCACTAACACTTGCGATAAATAGTTCTGATTATTATTATGACTAAATGAAAGTAAAATGAAAGTTGACATTTCTCAATTTTACATTTAAGAACTAAAGATTTACCAATGAATAAAGATAAAGGTCTAGTAGGTTTTATAAGCCTGGTATTAAAAAAATTACTCTCATTGACAGATGAAATTGATCTGGCATTTCACAAAGAAGGTAAATGGATCTTTATAAATGGTTTTCTTCTCCTCTTACAAGACACTTCAACTATTTAAATAATTTAAAAGTTATTTCTCATGGAAATAGAATCAATTTTCTATAGGCCTGAAGCACATTAATGAGTATTCTGAATTTCCTTCCCTCCAGCCAAGTGATAAGTCACCACAAAGAACCCCTGAAAGCTATTACATTGTAGAAAACACAATTTTCTCCTTGACAAAGAATAGTTACTGGTTGCTGCTAAATTTAACATAGAAAATATCAAGTTACTGTGGCTATGCTATGCATAGGAAAAACTCTTCTGTGATGGGCAGCTGGTAACACTCACAGAAAGCTTAAGCTCCTGTCCCATTTCCATTCATGAGTATTTGTTTTCGCAGTCTTGTCTAAGCCATGCCTCCTATGACATTTTTCATCCCAGATACTTTGCAGAAGTTTTCATTTTTGTTGAGTTTTACTCATTGCAACTGGTATTACAAAAAAAAATTACTCTGAATATAGTTTTCCCAATAAATAAGATCTGGACAATTCAACATTAATTCACTATTACCAGCACATGGGCACTTAAGGTAAACTTCCTGCCACCATTTTGAGCATCAGGGGTCTGAGTGAAATGAAAGTATAGACTTTCACATTTACAAATAATGGTAGTTTCAAAAATTATACAAAGAAAATATTAATACTTATATTCAATCATAGTTATCAACTCTAAAATCGTTCTAACTAAGGTTTCTCTCTCTTTATGGTCAATATTAACTTTGCCTCCTATGGTCTATTATACATTTAATACTTTTATTATCCCTGATGATTAACAATATCTTTCTGGTACATCAGAAGTCCCCCCCTCTCCAATTCTTAACAGTCGGCCACTCTCTGTTCAATATTATAGTAGGTCTTGACTGGCAGCATATCCTTGAAATTATTTCTCTATTTGGTTTCAGTAGCAAAGACATGGTGATCTAGATTTGAAGAAAAAAAATCAACACCAAAACCCCAAAGCAGGTCTGAAACCCTCATTTTAAGAGACAGCAATTGATGTTTGTATCCTATGTATAGACTAACATAATTTTCATAAAAAATTACTAAAAGGGATTTCATAAAAACCACTTGGGTTTATTTTCCCTTTACCTTTTAATGACTAGTAATATAGAATCTCAGCAGACAGCTAGCTCATCTCACCTTCCTGCAGGGCTAGAACCACTATCTTCACTTTCCCATTGGTCATTTTTGCTTCTTGGAATTGGAGGCTGTAGCATTTCAGCGGCAAGGGGATCAGCATCATTTTCTTCTCTACCAATCCATTCTCCAATCACACGCGGCCTCAGAATAGAAGAATTAAATGCCACTGTTTCCTGAAGAGAAGAAAAGAATATGCTGTCTTAGATGACTTTTTTTTTATTAACAGGACAACAGGGAAATAAAGTTGCCTAGAGATTTGACTGTCAAATGCTTTTTGTCTTTCTGAATTGAAATAAAACTTCAGTTTCCTCCAACTCTACTAGATAGTTTGTTCTATGTGATTTATGCTGATTCCTGAGGTCACTGTGATAAAGGACCCAGGAGTGAAATCTTTGCTTTGAATTTGGAAGGCTGCATGTGTGCTCTCAGGAAAGAGGTGTGGGATGAGCATTCAAGGCAGAAGGAAGAGTGTGTTGTAAACAGGGCGGCCCACATAGGGAGAGAGCTTGGTGTCACTGCTGGGAAATAGTAAATAATGGCCCAGGTGGAAACTGGGTTGGGGTCAGGGGACAGGGACAAGAAGAGATAGGGCTCGAAGGGCGTATTGCTTCCAATTGCAAAGCATTTTAGACATTTCGGGATCCAGTAGAAATTCGAAACAGGGCAATATCAATGGCAGATATATTATACTAATTCAACAAATGTTAGTAATCTGTTTTCATAGACTAGGATACAATACAGCTATTAAAATGCTACTGTAGCAGAATACAGAATACATGTAATTGCTAGCGATTTTTTGTTATGTGAAAAAAGGACAAGTTAAAAAGCAATACTCATAGTATAATCTAGCTTTTGTTTAAAAAATTCATATGAGTGTATATCCGTTTCTCGTTCACTAATTCATTCATTTCTTCATTCTCTAACATTTATTAAGACTTGCTACAGGCAAAGAACTGCTTGCTTGCTGAGGAAAACAATGGTGAATAAGATCACAATGTAATAGTGCCTTTATCTGAATGAAGGAACTACAGGTGATTTTAGTTTCTTCTTTTTGCATTGCAACATCATTTCTATATTCTACAGTAAATATGAGAAAATATATTTTTAATGCCTCTTCAGCTGAAAAATATAGGCCTTGCTTAAATATGTTTAGTGATAAATTTTACTATTACAATAGTCTTGAACAGTTCTTTAAAAATTCAGACGGTGGGCTGGGCGTGGTGGCTCACGCCTGTAATCCCAGCACTTTGGGAGGCCGAGGCAGGCAGATCATGAAGTCAGGAGATGGAGACCATCCTGGCT